GGAGGGAGGGAGGGAGGGAAGGAGGGAGGGAAGAAGCCGAACCAAGGGAAGGGAAGGGAAGGGAAGGGAAGGGAAGGGAAGGGAAGGGAAGGGAAGGGAAGGGAAGGGAAGGGAAGGGAAGGGAAATGTCCTCCAAACTTTCTAATGGAGAAGTTGAAGACAGGCTAGACACACATTGGCTGCAGAGAAAACTCTTTGGTGCTTGAGTCTTTGGACTCCAGGGTGATGTGGGAAGGTCATATGTCTATCTGTTGCTTTCATTGGTTAATTAATAAAGAAACTGCTTGGCCTGATAGGTCAGAACATAGCTGGGTGGAGTAGACAGAACAGAATGCTGGGAAGAAGGGAAGTGAGGGCAGACACAATGGAGCCAGCCGCCAGGTCAGACATGCTAAATCCTTCCTGGTAAGACACCACTTTGTGGTGCTACACAGATTATTAGAAATGGGTTAGTCAAGATATGAGAGTTAGCCAAGAAGAGGCTAGATATAAGGGCCAGGCAGTGTTTAAAAGAATACAATTTGTGTGTTGGTATTTCAGCTGTAAAGCTAACCATGTGGGAGCCAGACGGGATGAAAAGCAGGCCTGCCCGCAGCTCCTTCTACACCAGTGAACTGCACATCTAGCGGAGTGGGAAAGCCACACACCTTAAAGAGCTACAAGACCAGTAGAAAACAAACAGGGCAATTCTGCCCCAGAGCCCCTGCGTCACCCTGAAGACACAAAGAGCCTGCAGTGGGACTCACATACAGCTGTGCTTCCTGGTCACAGCACCAGGAAAAACAACAGCTTTGAAAAAGCAAAAACCAGCTAAAGGCTAGGTGCTTTATTGACTAAAGTCTGGAAATCAGAAAACGTCCCATTCGTTCGATAGACGGAGACCGTTAACTACACTCATTTGGTTGCGGCTCATTTAAAAAGCATTTTCTGGCTAGTTTGCTCAGCTCTATGTGTGGCAGTGAATTCCTAGGACTCTGGGGCACATTACCAGAACAGACGATCAAATGGTCAATGGTCTGAAGGTATATGATCATTCTGGTCTGGAGTAAGACTGGGGAGAACCTCAAACCACATAGAGGGAGGTGCTCATGGGTACGTGGGACACGGTGGATATTTGCCACATCTCCTGCAAGTGAATCATGACCTGCTATGCTTCCAGCAATTCTCCCCTGGTCATGGTACCCTTAGTCACCTCCCCTCAAATGCGTAATAGAACCCTTATCCCAGCAGCCAGACCACGGACTGAGACTGAGGAATGTACGTACCAGTGAGGACCGGCTCCAGGTGGGCTGGCGTCTGATTGGGGGTGGAGAATTTGACTGTCTATATGAAAGATTAAAAATGAAAACCATCATTATTGTTGATTAAAGTTCAAAAGGTCAGACAGACAAGGGAAGTTGGGAAGGGGGCCAGGCCAGACCAGCGAAGCCTACCTCACAACACACGCAGAACACACAGCACACACAGCTCATGACTGCACACCAACATTAAGAACACACAGCACACACAGCTCATGACCGCACACCAACACTAACAACACAGCTCTGCCTTTGTTCTCTTTCACGCTCAAAATGTTTGGAATACATATTTTTGTAGAGCTTTGCTCATTGTTACTAGAACGAGGCTTACTTCTAAAGAAATATTATGGGAGAAATAAAGACCGGAAGACCTCACATCGTGTGAACTTTTAAAACAGTGTCCTGTGTAAACCTGTGGAGGTGCATAATGAAAATATTTTGAAAATGCTTCCAGTTTAAATAAGATTCCAAAATAGAGAAAATATTTTTCAGTTCGAGCCCATAAAGATAATACATTCTGCAAATGTTTATCAGGCTAGATGCCTTTTTTGTTTGTTTTAACTCTGCTCTGACGCTGGGGGTCAAAGCCAGCAAACAGTAGGCAAATATTCCATAGCTGAGGTATGTCCCCAACCCAGCAAATCTTTCACAGAGTTCTCTCTGTGAAATACTTCAGCATTGATTCAATGACAACAAGAGAGAGGTGTGCAAGCCAGAACATATCCATTCCTGAGAGTGGTTACCATGAGGTTCCAACACCACACCGTATTTAAAAACAAAATGAAATACAAGATACAGACTTTTCCTCGGGCTAAACTTCTTCAAATAAAGACTTCCCTGAGTTGGAGATTTTGCCTGTCTACCTGCCTGTTGATAAATATCTTTGCTCTGGTGAAACCATAGGGATAAGGCAGTAATGTGGGTTTCTAGCAGCTGCTCAAATTCAGCGGTATCACTCCCGGGTTAAACATGGGATCCACATGGCAAGGACCAGCTGTGCAAGGGCAGATGCCACCTGGCGAGCCTGGGCGGCTCACGAGTGGACAGACCTAGATGGAGGAGGAGGAGGTTACGGAGACAATTCCTGTTCTGGAACTCGACAGGAATGCCCTTGACTTGAGATTATGGAGCTCCATGTGTATGTGGGAAGGATGAGGTTAACTGCTTCGGATGCCACGCCAAGGAAGAAGACAAGGGTACCCCAGAACGGAATTCTTGATTTTCAATGTTACATGCGGTGTTCACGGATATTAGAAAAGACCACAGAAGAAACATGAATGTTGAACACATCAATGAAGCTTTGTGCTGAGAAACAGAGAAGAAGATAGCAACTCTCAAAGGGATTCATATCCACCACACAGAAGTCAGCTATAGAATTCTTGATGGCGTCAAGGCCACCATGCAAATTCAAAGGCAAGAGCAGAACAGAACCATACGCATATGAGTGTGTCTGCAGAAGCCATGGTTATGTCCTTGCTCGGCCTTTAACCCATCTATTAACTTGGCGGGTAGGCCTAGACTATCACGTGTACTTTCAGACCCTAGCAGCAAGCAATTGCAATGTCTGGTTTAAAAGGGCCTGGGCTACATGGAGGGAAAAAGTCTGCCATGACCTGGGGCTCCAGTTCTGAGCCGCTGCCTTCTGCAGCGGCACCTGCTGTCCTGCAATATGCCACCCTGCTTGGATGTGCCCACTGTGGGAGCGTAAAGACAGCCCCTCGCTTGCATTTACACCCCTGATGCTCTTTGAACCAAAATTAAACACCTTGGGGGCCCAAGCGGCAAATGCGCTCCGCTGAGGAACGCCTTTTGAACGCGACCTATGTAAAGGCGCTGACAGAGTGGGCCCCCGGCACGCCGTCTCCGAGGTCAGGCCACGAGGAAGTGCCCTCAATCAGGCTCAGATTTATCATCTTTATTTCCGAACTAAATTAAAAAGACACACAGATGCGTGCCATCTCGAAGTGCCTTCCAAATCCCCCTCTAATTACCCTGGCCTCTCATTTGCAGTCAGATGGCACGACCCAGGAGCACACGCCGGGCTAGCCAACTGTGAGCGGAAACAGGCCGATCCAGCGGCAGCATCCTCTCTTTTAAGTTGGCTCATCACTCCGCTCCCCACTTCTGAATATACTCCACATCTAACACGGAGGGGCACCTGGGCAAATTGGGAACAGCTGGGCTCTTCCGAACTCAGAGCCGAGTGCCGGAACGGCACTGATGCAGCCCACCCTTCCAGGAAGTGAAGCATTTATAGTCAATTTGAAAATGATTGTCTCTCTAGGCACACGGACTGCAGTAGACAGCACTTAAACATCTCTCGCTGCTGACTGGCTTTGGACTCCTCCTATGGCTTCTGTAAAGATCAAGGGGAAAGAACGACTGGAAATGGACTTCTCAGAGGCCCCAACTTAACAGGACCAAGCCGTCCAGAGAGACGGTGAACTAAACATGTACTCACTCAGTGCAGATCTTGTTCTGTTTGTAAAACTTGTGCCGTGTTGTAAATAACCGGGAAATATACTTGGCATTTTCAATATCATCCTTGAAAAAGAAGAGATGGGAAAGAAATAAGCATTCATTAGATTAGATATGTACTTCACATAGACTTCTCCAAGTAGACCTCTCCTTCCATCCGAAGTACAGAATAACACGCTGGGCCAGGGAGCAAACCAATCTTTGTGATGTCAATGGAGCCCAAGCTACCACAGCTCGGCGAAGATGGCAGAAATGACCATCTGTCAATGAATTCTCCTGAGGTTCTGGTCTGCAGTGAGGAACTGCCAGGTTCTCACCTCAACTTTCAAAACCAATTCTTTTTTTTTTTTTTTTTTTTTTTTTTTGGTTTTTCGAGACAGGGTTTCTTTGTGGCTTTGGTGCCTGTCCTGGCACTGGCTTTGTAGACCAGGCTGGCCTCGAACTCACAGAGATCCACCTGCCTCTGCCTCCCGAGTGCTGGGATTAAAGGCGTGCACCACCACTGCCCAGCTCAAAACCAATTCTTAAATCAAGGCAGGGCCTACGATTAACACCAGTGTCATTCAACCAGAGACAGGATGACGAGGGGAACAATGTTGGCTCCTGAGAAGGGACCCAAATCCAGGGTCATGAGGGGCTGGAAAACCCAGGTCAGCCAGCAACAGAAAATGCAATGTGACTTAACTAGGAGTCACCTGAGGAAGGCTGTGACCGGAGTGGCATGGCACGCTGGACAAACCCAGTGAGAACATGCATCACTTGCAAGAGGTCATGCAGGACCAGGCAAGTATTAGAAAGAACTCCTTCAATAGCACTGAGTCCTTTACGCAGTAGTGTTGTGTCCAATATGCAGCCATGAGCTGCATGGGCCCCCGGACACCTAGGAAGGCAGTTCAGCACTGTAAATATATTTAAAATATTATTAGGATGTGTGTGTGTGTGGTGTGTGTGTGTGTGTGCGCGCGCACGCCCAACTTTACTGTGCAGTCCTTGAGTGTAGACTTCACAGATGACAACAGTGCCCCCAACATTGAAAGTATTAGGACATGCAAGTATCAGGACATGGAGAATGAGGCAAGGCATTGTTAGCTTAAAGAAAAGAATCCCTCCTTAAGCTGTGCAGACCCCTGGACTCACTGTGTGGAAGAGTGCTGTCTCCTCCTTGTCAATCAGTTCTAGAAGGATGGCTGATTTGCTGTGGGTGACACTCCCAATGTCATTCCACCTGGGCCAAAGAAATGTGACTAGGTTTACTCGAAGATGGTCCGTGTATCCACCCTGAGAAATGTCTCATCTTACAATTATGATTTAACTATATTAAATATTTGACTAGCGTGCACTCCGGATTCACTGTGCCATCTTCGGGGATAATGCCCAACGGTAGTTTCTGTACCTATGCACCAGTCATGGAAGCACACACATGTGCACACTTTCCTTGGCAGCTCTCGGAGACCTGGTGTGCAAGGGGACTCACTCAATGCAGGGATACAGGCGGGAGGACACAGGGAATCCACCTACGTGTGGGGCCTGTGGACGCCAGGGTCTTGTGAGGACTCTAATCCCAGAAGCAGGTGCCAGACAGCAGGAGATAAGTGGCTGCCTCCCATTCTACTTGGTTCCTAGACATTCTGTTAAGGCTCGGGCTTCAGCAGATGTCCGAGCTACGGCTCCCCACTGGTCCCTTTTCCATCACCATGCTCACGGAAGCTACCCAATCTCTGTTGAGTCTGGTTTTCCTTTCCTCCTGCCTTACTTCCTTCGACAATTTCCAGTTTCACATACTACAGGCTGATCGCAAACTTACCTCATAGCAGAGGGTGACCTTGGACTTCTAATCTTCCTGTTTCGGCCACTACACTAACATTTATATGGTGCTGGGGACTGAGTGCAAGGCTTCTTGCATGCTGGGCAAACAGTGCACTATCTGGACTCCATCCCCAGGCTTCGGCATCCTCTACCACTCTCCCAGAAAAAGAGAATCTCCTGGAGTGCCTGCTCCCCACCACACTGTGATGTAAGATTTTCATTCTGTGGTTAGACCTCTCAAGAGACCCCCGGAAGACCACAGGTTCCTCACTCAGTAGGGATTCCACGTCTCCATGTCTGTAATCCGTGCACAGAGTTCAAGTCCCACATCCTATCTAAAGCAGGAAAAAGTGGCTGATTTGCTTCTTCTTAGAGAAGATTCGATGTAGACACTGGTGAGACCCAGAGTCTCCCCGAGTCTGACCGATGAGTTCTTACCTGGGGTTTTCAAAGTTACTCCCAGTCACCTGCCCATTCCAGAAGAGCTGTGCTCCCCACACATGCCCGCGCGTCCTCTCCCTTTTCCAAAAATGCTCCCTGACAGAGACACCTGCTGCTTCCAGGATCTCAAGACAGGAGGCTTCTCCCTGACAGATGAATTCCTTCAAAGCAACTGCCCAAACTCTACAGGAGCTCCTCAGCCTGTGCCCCCCTGGGAACAGCTCCTGAGGGGACGGAACAACCCCTGCCAGAGGCAGACTGACATCTGCAGTCTGTCTGGAGTTCAGCAGCACAGGTGTGTAGGAGTGCTCATGTGTCTACAGGTTCATGTGCGTGTGGAATCCAGGGGACAACTCTGGGTATCAGTCCCCAGTCACTATCTACTTTGGATTTTGAGACAGTCTCTTTCCAGTCTGGACCTTGCCAAGCAAGTTAGTTTGACTAGCCAGCAAATCCCAAGACTCCACCTGAGCCTGCCTCCCAGCTCTGGGATTCAGGCCTGTGTCAACCTATCCAGCATCTTTTTTGTGGGTCCCGGGAACAGAACTCAGGTCCTTGCAAGACTTTACCAACTGAGATACAGTTCCCTAGCCCTTAAACATTTATCCTAAAGGTCTCCATACACATTGTAGCTTCAAAAATCAAAGAGGGAAAATCATAGAAACGATGGCAGAGCAGTGATCTGGGTTGGAAACTGTCTGGAAAGGCAGCCCTGACTGATTCCGAGAGTTCACGCTTTGCCTGTCGGGGGATCAGCACAGGGCCAGACTGCCCAGGTACACAGAGGCGAGCAGGCTGTCATCATGGAAGCTACGGGCAACCATGCAATGAGCCAGCTAGTGGACACTGACCACACCGCTGGACAGGGTTTGCTTGTGCTAAACGGAAAAGAAGGTTAAAGGGTCCAAGTAATAATAATAATAATAATAATAATAATAATAATAATAATAAAGCACTCGGTCGTTTCATTTGTTATCACAGACTAACTGCCCCTAAAATACACTTCTATAGACTATCAGTCCCCTTTTGTTAGTATAAAGATGACTTTGTCCTTGGCTAACACATGTGGTCACACAGAGAGCACGGGGCTGTGGGAAGAATCTGGTTTGGATCTAAACATCCAGAGACAGTCCTAACAAAAGCAATCAGCAGGACCGACTACAGAGCCTGCTCTTCCTGCTCTCAGGGTCTGCACCACTGACTCAGTAGACTTGAAATGCGTGTTTCCTGTAGCCAGAGAGGAAGGAATCAAACCTCTGGGAAAAGCAGTATCAATTTTCCCCTGGCCCCATCAATCCTGAAGACGGCCAATTTTATCTGAACTGAGAAAATAGAGTCCACTCAGGTCCAGTGTGGCTCTTAACTCATTACATAACTACAGTCCATGGCCCTGCCCACAGTCTCTCAAGGGAGGAACGCGTTACCTGTATATTACCGCCTGTCTTCCGATTCTGTTCCTCACGAAAATTCCCATAAAGAAAATGCCGAGGTGTGTGCTGTTGCCGTGATTGTCCTGCAGAGGATCAACAGAAGGCGTTTGTTACCACCGTGACCTTGCTGAGCCTTCACAACAGCCAAGGTCAAACAGCCGCAGTGTCTGCCAAGAGACCAGTGGAGAAAGATGTGGGGGGAAGTAGGGTGTGCGTGTACCCCACATAGTAGGAAGTGGTATGGTGTGTGTGTACCCCACATAGTAGGGGAGTGGTAAGGTGTGTGTGTGTACACCACACAGTGGGGTGTGGTACAGTGTGCATGTACCGCACATAATAGGTAGTGGGTGGTACGTGTGTGTGTACACCATAATGAAGTGTGGTACGGTGTGCATGTACACCATAGTGAGGTGTGGTATGGTGTGTGTGCACACCATAGTGTGTGTATACCATAGTGCGGTGTGGTATGGTGTGTGTGCACACCATAGTGTGTGTATACCATATTGCGGTGTGGTATGGTGTGTGTACACCATAGTGCAGTGTGATAGGGTGTGTGTGTACATCACATAGTGAGGTATGGTATGGTGTGCGCATACACCACACAGTGGAATACCATGTAGGCTTTAAACAGGATACTCTGGCGTTTGAAACTAGAGGCCATTATTATAAGTGAAACAAGAAAGGCACAGAAGACAAATGCTGTGTTCACTGAGATGGAGTGGATCTCATCAGCAGCATGGGGCAGCAAGGCTGCAGGGGTGAGGAGATGCGAGTCAATATGAACTCTAACTAAACTAGAGGGACAAATTCCGGGATCTACTGTGCACTGTGCTGGCTGCAGTGAGTAGCGACATGCCGAATTCTCAAAAGTCCATTGAGAAGAGATTTTCTGTTCACCCCACAAAAATGCTAAGACTGTGAGATAACACATGCATGAGTTAGCCTGGTTCCCCACCCTACATACACACAGGTTCAGAAGACACTATACATAATAAATACATACCATTTAGTTTGTCGTTTTAAAGACAGAGATAGTTGTAAGGCAAGAGATAGCACCAAGCTGGAACCCTCCCCTTCAAAGTTGCCAGTACAAGACTTCTGGTAAGACAGCCTGGTGGTCAACCCAGGAAGGATACAAGAGGAAAACAGGTCAGGCGGAGTGGTGTACCCCAGTAACCCCAGCATGCAGAAAGTAGTGGCGAGGAAGTTATGCCTCTGATGCCAGCGTGAGCTACTCCATGAGCTGAGGGGTGGGCCAAGAACTGGGGAAGAAGAAACAACATGGTTTGCAAACCAAAGAAAAGCTGAAAGATAAGTTATACCACAGAAAGATGCACATGGAACAGTAAGGTGGGGAGCATGAGAAGGGAGGGAAAGGAGACCCTACACGAATACCCCAGATGCTTTGCCTGCAGGTTCACACTAGAGTCAAGGGTAAAAGTGACCCAGAAAGAGCCGTTCCCGAAGCAGGATGATGTAAGAACACACAGAAGGATGCCTGAGGCAGCTGTGCTACACTGGATGCTACAGGCATCTCACTGGACCAAACTTAAATGCTGGGCATCCTACTGAGCTGTAGTCCTGGGTTGAGACACATCTGAGCAACCTCCTGTGAGCTCATAGGCTCCATTAGTAGGGGCAGCTCAGCCAGAAGCTACGTGAGTGTATGTGAGGTTTTAGGAAGGACAGATGGTACCCAAGGAGGGCTGGGGACATTTTGGGGAACCATGTATGGGAAAGCTGGTGGCTCTAAACGGAAGTGCACACAGGGGCCCTGTTCTCCATCTCACCGTCTATCCCTGCACACTCAACTCTCTGCTTGTGCAAACTTCTTCAAGGCAGGCCACTCCCCACCCCCTCCCACCTATCATCCTGGGTCACCCAGCATCCAGCGTCTGCAGATGGTTACCTCCACCAGGGACAGATATACTGGGGGAACTGGGCAGTTCAGCCAAGTTCCCCAAAGAGATCAGCACTGCTGGTCCTCCCTGGAGAACCTACTAGACGAATTCACTGAAGATGGAAAGATGTCCAAGCTCTACAAGTAGACTTCAGCTCTAGCTTGAGTGCCCTCCCTACCTACAGCTCAGACACTAAAAATAAGCAAACAAAGACCACAGCAAAACCCCCAACTTCCAGGCAGAAAAGCTGGCTCGGTAGAAATTGAGAAAAGTTTACTGATTTTTTTTTCAGTGACCCGAAATATTGTGACTATATGTGGGCTGCTGTAAGTGGGCTGCAGATGGCCTCGCCAGGCATTTCTGCAAGGCAAATGGATGACAGTCCTACCAAGGGCGGCCGTTAGAGAAGCAAAGGAAAATTAAACAAATCGAAAAGAGAGCCATTTAGCCCCTTTCACGGGATGCGGCCACCTCGCTTGATTCTGTTCGACCGCTCGCAGGCAGTTGTCATTAGCGCAAATGGTAAGCAAGCCAGAGAGGGAGCAGAGCATGTGTTAAAGCAGCCAGAGTGAAGAATGTGTGTGCGGAAATCACAGGCCCCTCCCAGCTCGCCGGGGTGTGCCAGCTGCATTAGGTTTCTGATGGAACGCCATCTTTTGAAGAGTTGGTCAGCAGAGAGGCGAGACCGAGTTTGGATGATGGGCTCGTGATTCTCCCAGTCACACCCACTCCAGTAGGTGGGGCAGTTACAAAGGATGCGCTTTAACGATTTGCTAGACACGGCTTCCACAAAACACCCACCACTCATAGCTCTGCAGAGCTGCAGGAACAAAACACGACTGTGTATTGGAGATGCTTCAATCTGGCTCACCAGTGATTATCCCCACATCCAAAGGAAAGAGAGGAGAAGACACAAAGGAAGAAAGCTGCTAGCTAGCCTCACTGTACGTGTCCACGGGATGTCAGCTGTCCTTGGGCTCTAATCGTAGACAACTGTCCAAGCAGACGAGCATGATCGGCTGAAGCTCAATCCCAAACTCTCTGAGCTCAGAAAAAGCATTAGCTTTACCTGAAGAGCGTTCTTAACTGCCAGGGTCAGAACGAGAAATGTCCCCAATAAGCTCATGTGTCTGAAAACTTCATCCCAACTGGTCACACTGTTTGGGGAGGTTATGGAACGCCCCTGGGGGAAGTGGGCCACTGAGGACGAGTCTTGGGGTTTTACCGCCCAGTTCTACTTCCTGTTGACTCTACTTTCTGGTTGCTTACACCACGTGACCGGCTGTCTCAATTTCTTTTCCAACACCAAGGGCTGTACCCCCTGAACTGTGAGCTAAAGCAAACCTTCCCCCCTATAAGCCACTTCTTGTCCCATCTCTTTTTGTCACAGGGAGGAAAAGGTAAGAAAGACATCAATCGTCACATGACACGGAGAAGGGAAGCCTTTCTGGCCCAGGGCCACCCACGCTAACTTTGAGATGTGCAGGGGCAGGAAAGGTGTGTCACCTTCACCGGGAAGGTCTCCTGTCCAAATCCATCCAAACGTTCTACTTCATTGATGTACATCAGCTCAGCTTCTGCAGGCGGGATCCCACTACAATCAAAACAGCACCAGAGGAGGAAATGGGTAGCAGTCCAAAGCTAGCGGCAAACACCAACATCTTAAGGCAAATCCCGGAGCTGTGTGCCGGCCCTGGTCTCCGGGGATGGCGTTCGTTTCCACCAGGGAGGTAGCACCTGGTTAGGTGGCATTATCGATCAGCTGCCTTTTACTCAAAAAGGAACGAGAAAGGGAAGGGAGATTTTCCAACCGAGAGACACAGCCTTTACAGCACTAATTACTCGATACATCCCTGGGAACAATGTCGTCTGCTTTAAAAAGACACTATGTGGATCACAATTTTGTGTGTGTGTGTGTTATGTTTTTCGAGACAGGGTTTCTTTGTAGTTTTGGAGCCTGTCCTGGAACTAGCTCTTGTAGACCAGGCTGGCCTTGAACTCACAGCCATCTGCCCTGCCTCCCTGCCCCCCCAAGTGCTGGGATTAAAGTCATGAGCTACCACCGCCCGGCTAGAAAATTTCTACAATTCTAAAATGAAAATATTTTAAAGAGGGAGGAGGGAAGGGGATGTGAGGAAGCAGGGAAGCACAGACCCCCACCCCCAAGCTCCACTTAGAACCCAGAGCCCAGCCACGTGGGTAGAAGCCAGGAAACCATGTGACCCAGGCCAGGGGTGGGCGGAGCTATGAAGACCCACCCCACAGTGTTTTGTGCTGGCTGGATGAAGTCTCAATCTCTACCCATTTTACCTGTGGGCTTTGTGCTCCTGGGCCACCTTCTGCGTCAGCTCCTCCAGAACAGCCTCCTCCAGGGCCAAATCCTGGAAGAACAGGAGCACTCGGGTCACTGTCCGTGCCTCCCTGGTCAGGCGTCCCCAGTGACACATTCCCTTTCTCTCTCCTGCGCACAGCTCCTAGCATAGCCGGTGGGACCCAGAAGGTACAGCACCTACCACAGCTGGTGGGACCCAGACAACACAGCTCCGACCACAGCCGGTGGGACCTGGGCTGCTTTTTTTTCTTTACCGACCATGTGCCTCCCAAATGCACTTTTATTAAATTGCTTGGTATGTGCTTGTGTAGTGTGTGCGTGTGTGTGTGCACATGAATGTGTGGATGGCATAAAATGACCTCAGCTCTTGCCTCTTGTTGTAGCCACCTTGGTGGGTTAGTTGGCTTTCCTCATTGTTTGATTTTAAACACAAGGCTTCTCGCTAGTCTGGAACTCACCAGGGAGGTCAGGCCAGTTAACCGGAAGGCTCCGGGGACTCACTGGGTTCTGCCTCGTCAGCACTGGGACTGCAAGGGAGTTTTGCTTCCACGTGGGTTCTGGGGACCAAACTCACGTCTTTGCAAGCTTTACTGTTCAGTTATCTCCCAACTGAACCCTGGGAAATAAGCGAGCTTCCAGTCGTGAGACCGCAAATGTGTTGTGTGCCTGCGACACTAGCTGCAAGCACCTCAGCCACACCAGGTGCAGATTCTAAAAGGCACATGGGGACAGAACAAGCTGAGGTGAAGATCAAAGGCTCCGTTAAAACCTAAGTTCCAACTCTGAAAACGCCCAAAGGCACCCTTCTGCTGTTATATTCAACTCAATGCCTCCACCTGTGTGTGTGGGGGGGGGGGTGGCGGCAGAGGTATGCACACCCCAGAGATGTGTGTGCGTGGCAGGGGCTGAATGACAAATGGCAGGGTGTGTGCCACAGCCACACACCTGTGGAACGCCTGTGTACTTAACTTTGTTCTTTTCTCTGCTGAGGAGATGCCACCTGACAGCTCAGGGAGTAGGGAAGATCAAACAGGGCCATTCATCCGCCTTCCCTCCCTTGGCGGAGGAATGCATGCTTCCCTTTGCGAGCTCCAGCAGAACCCAGCAGAAAGCTGAGAATTTGCCACGGCTCCCCACTGCTTGCACAATTAGGTCCACACCTGGGCCTGGCATCTGGACCGTTCTTTAGTGGGACCCAGCCATTCTTTCCAGATCTCCTCCCCTCAGAGTTCAGAGCCTCGGGCAGGCTTCTGTTCTCAACACAGCTTTCACTGTCTCCGTTTCGACTCCTGCCCACACAGTCGCACCACACAACAGGAAACACCCCGTCTCCACTCTCACGATGGATACTCCATGGTGCCTTCCCTCCCCTGGCCATAGCTCCTCTGCTGTGGGGGCCTCCACAAACCTTCTGCATGTTCTGTCTACAGTGTTTCTTCTGTGGTTACACACACACACCATCTACACACCATCCTATTCCATTCCTTGTCTCCCGTCACCTGCTAGAATCTGGGGCCCTCAAGGACAGCATTTCTTTCCATCCTGTAAGAGGTCAGTCATGGGGCTTTTCCACAATGACCCTTCCAAGTTCATAAGACAAAGTGAGTAGTCAATGAATACTGACTGAACACATTGTTACAGAGGAGGTTTTGACCATACGAAACTGGGTAACAGCAGCTCATCCCTCTGCTTATCTTCTCAGTTTGCATTTCAAAATGCAGACAGCGGCGTTATTTAATCAGCTCATATTTGCATATCACAGACAGAGTCACTGTAATAGTAACACATCCAAATAACTGGTTATTGAGAATTTACCCCGGACCAGGGTAGGTCCCTCATACGGATCTCCTCCTTGATCTTCAAAGTGGGAACGGGTTTAATCTAACTTCGGATGTGCAGACAGGGGCTTTGAACCATCAGCTAACTTGCCCAAGGTTGTATAGCCAGTAAGGGTGCTAGCCCTGTGTAGCCTAAGCACCACTCAGCGACTATGTGGTAAGGGTTTAGACCACAGACTACCCAGGACAGGTCACAGCACGGTGGACTCAGGATGTGTACTCAGAAAAAATTGATGAGGGTTGCAGGCCACGCTTGGAACATACTCAATTCAGCGGTGAGCACGAGCAGCCCCCAGCTTCATCTCCAGCGCTGCTCAGGGAGACGAGGAGGGACATCAAAATATGCCTGATCTTTGCCCTAGACACACGTGGCTACTGAGCAGTTAGGCTATGGCCAATACAACCACAAACTCAACCTCTAACTCGTTTAACTTTAAATTTGAATATGAACTTCCACTTGGGGCTAACGGCAAACCACTTTGAAGAGAGCGAGCATAAATCTAAGAACAATAATCTCGGTAGTTTGGGAATCAGGATAGCTGAGGCAGGAGGATCACAAGTTCAAGGTCAACCTAGGCTATGTAGTGAGTTCAGAGTTAGCTTGGGCAACTTGAGACCTTGCTTCAAGATAAAAATTACAAAAAGGGCCGGGATTATACATACCTTCATCATAGGAACCTGCCTGGCACGTGTTTGGCCCAGATGAATCCTTTATCCTGAAGAGAGGTGTGGGGAGCATGTGGGGTTGGGGGTGCAGCTGTACATGCTGTGCATGTGGGGGTCCTCAGGTGCCTTCTACCCTTTGCCCAAGACAGGCTCTCTCACTGCCATCGAGCTCTGCTAAACAGGCTAGGCTACCAGACCAGGCTACCAGACCAGCAAGCTTCAGAAATCTGCCTGTTTCTGCTTCCCACTGAGCTGCTGCTGGGATCCAGGTGCGTGCCACAGCACCCAGCTTTGGATGTGGGCTCTGAGAATCAAACTCTGGTCCTCATACTGGTAGGGCAAGCAGTTTTCCAATTCAACCATCTCCTTGGGTCTGCTTAAATGTTTTAATGTCTCTGTTGACACCTAAGCTGTGCTTCCTTTCCAGTGGTACCCACCTACAAAAGCCTTCAGGCAGGGGAAAGGACAGCTATGGAGGAGAAGGTTCCAGAGATTGGCACAGGGTAGGAAGCAGCGGTGGAAAGACTGGCAGCCCTCAGTCCACCTGAGCTTCATCTGAACAAGGGAGCGTGCTCTGAGAAACCTGTGTCGCAAGCTCTTTGGGGACGAGTATTATATAAATGACTACAGAAGATCACATCAGATAGGCTGAGCCCCTCGTGGGACCAGAGCCCAGTTGGAATACGGGGTACCTCTGTGCCTCCCCTAATCAACTGTCTCCTTTCCTGTGACTATCCATGTGTCTCGGGGCAATCTGTTGTAAAGAGAACTTGGGAGCCGCAGCATCTGTCCTTTAGACTCCAATCCATACGCCGAACGGTCTCTGTTCGCTGCAGCAATTGCCGCCATGAGGATCCAAGTACCCTAACTCCTCAGAAGCCTTGGGTCCCAGTCGCCGTGACTCTCCTCCCAATGGACAGGCTATAGCCAAGTGACAGCTGACTCTCCCAAGAGCCTCTTCTTTCCTCCCCGTCCTAATCATGCCTTGTCCCCTCCGCTCTACCCCTTACCCATGACACAGGAGACTCCCCAGTTGTCTCTGAGCCTTTCCTAATTCCTGAGGTCCATGTGGTACCTCCCCAGGTCAAATCCTGATTATAATCCTGATCTATAGAATTGCACCCCAATTTGGCAAATCTCCCCCTAGGAGCATGCATGCCGTGGTTCTTGTACAATTTCATTCCCAGGTGTCTATTACCCAGGGCAGCATTTGGGACCAAACACTGAACAACAACAAAAAGCTACATGGAAAACGTGGTGAGTGGCCGTCTCTACAAGCAGAGCCAGCACACAGCACACGGGGCTGCTTGCAGCTCAGCTCTTTCACGAGTTGCCTTCTCGGCGAGTTCAGTTGTGTTCACTAAAACCCCTCTCAGTGAAGCCACCAACCAGGCAGCAGAATTCCCCAGATGACACCTCATCTATCCTCCAATCAGCTTCGGAATGGTCAGTTTTACTTCAATGGCTCATTCCAGAAACACGTATGAGCACACCCTATGTGCTAGACAACAGTGGGCCACCAAGTCTCTGCTTTGGGGGCCCCACGCCTGGCATTCTAACTGCCATGATAAGAATGGGCAAGTTCAAACATGGAAGGGGTTGGGAAGCGCTCACTCAGGTGCAAGTTCATGACCAGGACATGGCTGATGGCTGCTGCCCACGGACGGGCAGGCAGAAGGCCTTCCTGAGGAGCAGGCAGGGGAACACTGACCTCACAGATCTGCAGGGCGCTTGCCAGGAGATGACACCCAACTAGCAAGGCCTGGGGTAGTTCCCTATGCTTGGAGGAGCAGGACGGTTCTGAACAAAGAGGGACTGGAGAGGACCCAGGAGACAAGGGTCTTCACAACAGATGATGACCATATATACTTATGAGGAGACCTTGTCTCTCCCATACCTGCCCTGTGACGGTTGCTAACATATATCCTAGCGACCAAGTGCAGTCACAGGTTCGCTCTCCCCACACCCTCGCGACTGTTCTTGGACAACAGTTAACCCAGCAGGAATGAAGCGGTATTCTATCGTAGTCTAAACTGACTCCCTCGTGATCAATGATGCTGAGTGTTTTCCAGGTATTTCCTGGATATTTATTTATTTATTTATTTATTTATATTTACTTATTATGTATACAATATTCTCTGTGTATATCTGCAGGCCAGAAGAGGGCACCAGACCTCATTACAGATGGTTGTGAGCCACCATGTGGTTGCCGGGAATTGAACTCAGGACCTTTGGAAGAACAGGCAATGCTCTTAACCACTGAGCCATCTCTCCAGCCCTCTCCTGGATTTTTAAAAATCTTCTTTTGTGAAATGTCTATTAAGGTCATGTGTAGGGTCATGTGTTTTCTTAGCATCACGTTTGAGTTCCGCAGATGTGGCTACAAGCCCCTTGTCCAAAGTATGATTTGCAAATATTTTCTTCCATGTGTGAGCTTTGCTCCGTAAATGACGTCCTTTGCCGGGCAGAACTTCTTTAGGATGCGACCCGGATGCTCTTTCCTTATTTGTGCCTTGGGGTCATATGCCAGAAACCATTGCCCAGACCAAGGTCTTGAGCCCCTCTGTCCTCCTCTAACGGTTCAGTCTCAGGACGTAGACCTGCATCATAATCCACTTGGAACTGACTCATAGACACTGGGTGACATAAGGCCCAATTCCATCCCATTTCATGTGGACGCCAAGCTCTCCCAACACAAGGTACTGTAGATACTGCCATTCCCCTTGCTTGCCCTTGACCTCTTCGTCAAAAAGCATCTGGTTGTACATGTGTGGATTTATTTCTGGGCTCTTTTCCAAGCCGGTAGTCAATGTGTCTCTTATAGAAGTCAGCGCCACGCTGCTGTCCGTCTCCAGCCACTGCGTCGTCTTCCTTTGGGTCACTACTGCTATGAAGAAGCACCATGACCAAAAACACGCCGGAGAGGAAAGGCTTTGTGTGGCTTCTGCATCCACAGTCCAGGACTGAAGGAAATCAGGACAGGAACTCAAGCGGGGCAGGAACCTGGAGGCAGGAGCCGACGCAAAGGCCATGGAGGGGAGCTGCTTGCTGGCTTGCTCAGTTGGCTTTCTTATAGAGCCCAGGACCTCCAGCCCAGGGGTGACACCACCCACAATGGGTTGGGCCCTCCCCCATCAATCACTAACTAAGAAAATGCCCTACAAGCCTGCCTACAGCCCGATCTTATGGAGGTATTGTTCTGGTGTTTTCTCAGTTGGAGCTCTCTCCTTTCAAATGACTCTAGCCTATGTCAAGTTGACATAAATTACCCAGCACACATGATAATGACCTCAGGGTCAGGAAGCACAATGTCCATCGCTCTGGTTTGCCCTGGCTCAACACTGTTTCGGCTACTTGGCATCTTTTGTGGCTACACGTAAATATTAAGTTTTGCTTTTCCTATTTCTGTGAAGAATGGCTTTGTGATTTTGACAGGGGTTGCATCTCTGGGTTGCATGGGCATTTTAACACCAATTCTTCCAGGCCACAGCCCCAGAACATCTGTGTAATCCTGTGTAATCAGTGTTCTATGGTTGTCAGTGCATGAGCCCTCCAGCTCCTTGGGTGCATTTATTCCTATGTTTTATAGGTTTTTTATGCTCTTATAAATTGAACTGGTTTCTGTATACTTTCACCAATCTCCCCCCATCTCTTGTCCTCTTTCGTGGCTCTGAGGATTGAACCCACGGCTACGCAAACTCAGCAAGCGCTCTACAGCCGAGCCGCCTTCCCTGCCCACAACCACCACTTCCATTCAAATGGTCCTAGCAGCCCAGTTAAAATAATTCGGGCAATAATGAGTGAATAAATGAATATCTGCATATGAAAGAGAAGTAAAATCGTCCAGATCTGCAGATTATATGACTGTGTACACAAAAAGTACAGATTCCATCAAAAAGGAAAAAACACTATTAGAACTGATAGACTGAAAATCAACCCACAAGACTTGGTGCTAGTTCTCTCTGCTACCAAGGTTCTAGTAGGGAGGAAAAAACCAGAAGTGTCTTGAAGTGGGAAGATGCCCCACTTACACTCCTGGTGCTTCGTAAAACTTGTACCTATATTAGAGGACTCAGACCTCATCCCCAGGAAGCACAGAAAATTTCAAAATAAAGAATGAAATAGCCAAGGAAAGTAAAAAGCCAAGGGAAAAAAAGAAATGAACTCACCATAGGGAAGAGGACATATTCTCGGAGGAATTCTTGGGAATCAAATTGGTTATAGTCTCCAAAATCCGCTGAGAAGAAAAGCCAGGAAAACATCATTAATCATTACATGAAGACAGGGCAGAATAAAACACGGCAAACGTGTGCCCGCAATACCCGTCTACTGCATTCTCGCTGCAGCCCCGCTGAGGAAGACGGATGCCAAGCCGTACCTGTTGTCCCCACTTGTACCTAGCAACTATCAGTGCTGGCCTGTGAGCCCCACTAGCTGATTTTTAGGAAAGCAAGCCCAAATGGCTATTTAAAGACCTGAAAACCAACCTGTGTCTGTTTGTTTGGGTAGCAGGTTGGTATCCTATGTCTGTCTGCCAAAGGGACTTTCTAAGTCAAGGTTAAGATGGAGGGACGTAGCTGGAAATGCATTGCCGCTGGAAATCCCCACTGTAAACCACCCTTGGCAACCTGGAAAACCTTCACACCCCCTGAACACACTGACGTGTCACAAGATGCCAGGAATTCTGTTCTTCCCGGCTACCATCTCACAGTGGAATGCTGGAGCACGTGTAGACAAAATCCACGCAAATGCCTTGCCTTTTGCTGCCTCTGCACACAGAAATGCCAGCCCCACGGAGTCACAGAGACAGTGACGATTCCCCCCAAAATGAAGTGCAACTGTCTCTTGGATGAGGACCCCAAAACAGCAAAGACAACCCACTAAGCTTGCGTTCAAGTCCAGTCACGCCATATCTCCAATCACTTCTTTTATTCCTGTGGGCGTGACTTTCTAATGGTCCAATACAGATTGGAGAAAGAGAGAGAGAGAGGGAGAGGGAGAGAGAGAACTGAATGACATGTGTGTGTGCGTATGTGCACTCTTCCATGTGGGCTCATGAAGACAAGAGGCCAATGTCCACTATCTTTCTCACTTGCTTCTGCAATTGTATTTAAGAGACAGGTCTCCCACCGACTCTCAAGTCCACTGTTCTGTCCAGCAAGCCCTAGGATCCTCCTGTCTATGCCTCCAATTCACGCACAAATGTGCCCGACTTTACATGGTTCTTGGGATCCGAATTCAGGTTCTCATCCTTGCACAGGGGCCCTTTCCCTATGAACTATCTCCCCAGACTAGGAGAATGCTGCTTCAAACATTCTCGAGGTAAAGCAAGCTTCATCAGACAGGCAAAATAGTTCACTTCAAGGAGCCAATAGAAAGGGAATCCAGACTGAGTCCACCAACTTCCTGAAGAATCTTACAATACCCAGGCTGCCTGGAATATACCAAATGAATGAACAGCGAGGGGAGGATTACACACAGGGAACGGAAAAGGAAGTCTTTTAAAGAAGAAAGGCCCAGTCAACATGCAGACACGGTGGGTTTTCCCAGTCCTGAGCTATTATTGCAATGGCCCACTACTGCTTCCAATGCAACTGCCCACTGTTTCTTCTCTTTCTGCTCCTCGGGAGGACAGACAAATGCAATATATTTTGGGCATTTTAACTCAGAGTGAAATGTCAAAGAAATCCATCTCTCCAGACATTAGCACTCAAAGGACTCAAGTTCTAAGTGTGGGATGGGAAGTCCACCAGCTCACAGCTCCTATATCAACGGCCCACAAGAACTCTGCAGCTAGCAAGAAAATAAGAACGGAAAGGGAGATATCAGTTTCCTTTTGGAAAATTATATACTACTCTCTTGGGATTGGAGAAGTGACTCAGCAGTTAAGGATGCTCGCTTCCCTGGGACGTGGGTTCAGTTCCTAGCACTCACTTGGTAGCTCGCAAATGTCTGATGCCCTCTTCTGGCCGCACCAAGTATTGCGCACATGGTGCATAGACACACAAGTAAGCAAAATACACACACACACACACACACACACAATCTTTAAAATATTATACATACTCTTCTTATTTTCAATATGAACAAATGCATTTAAACCACCATTCAAATACAAGTCTGGAGGCTGGTTGAGTGGCCAAGAGCATTTGGTGTTCTTCCAGAAGACCCGAGTTTGGCCCCAAGCACCCAGATGTGGTGCTCCAGAGCCACCTACAGCTCCAGCCCCAGTAGGTCTGAAACCTTCCTCAGGCCCCTACACATACCTGGAGCACACTCATACAAGTGCACATAAATAGAAAGCACAGATCGACACACATAAAATAACACATTCTACAATGCAGAGAAGGTTGAGAACAGCGGCACAGGTTGCAGGACAAGCTCACTCTGATTCATGCGCCTTGTCACATGGCCATCATCATCTAAGTTTCTCTTTTCAATTCTATGACAGTGAAGTACAGGATATTGGTTAAAGCGATTGTACTGAAATTAATGAATTAATATTGATTAACTGAAATTAATATTAGTATGGGTTTGAGATTATTGTACTATAGTAATTCATTCCTATCATCAGGGCACAGACTATGACCACACCGTACAGTGGAGTAATCCTGAGACAACGTCTCCCACACTCGCAAAGGCAGCCTCAATTACAGGCAATTTAAAAACTATCTCTTCAGTTAGAACCCTAATGGAACCACAGTCAAACAAGCATGGCTGAGTCAGGGGCGGCTTGGAGAAATCCACCCTCCTGCCACCCCCCCAAAAAATCACCGCTCATCTTAATGCACAACTTGACATGAACATAGAGCGTCAGCCAGAGGTCACATCGCCAAATCTAACTGCTCACGCTGAAAGAGCATAAGGAAGCAGAAGCTGGAATTCCAGAGATGCCTTACCTTGCACAGCTAAGCCGGCCAGCCGGATCACTTGCTCCAGTGTGCACCGTAACCGCCCTTCAAGCACATCCTTTTTGGCTTGCAGGTAATACTGGTATCTGTTTGGAGAAGAGAGGACAGCCATAAACACACATGCCGGGTGTTCGCAGCAGGATGTGCAGGTGACGCTGATGGCCTCATCGCTACAAAAGATGGACAGTAACCTCTGCCCCTGTGTCCCTCTGTCTGATGTAACAGGTGCTGAAGCCAGTTCACGGTGAGAACATTCTCATCAGACGGCCTGTTTGTGAGCCCTCAGGATGAACTGAGACCGGGAATGTCCCAGAAACACTTAACAGTACCTGCTTTCAATGGCTTAACTGTCAATTTGACAAAATCTAGAACCACCTGACATGCTTGTGGAGGGACTATCTTGATTACCTAATTGAGGTAGGAATAAAATCTTAAAAATTAATGTTAAAACATGAAAATTTACAGATGCAGAAGTCTGGTAGACCAGATAGATCACTAGTTGGTCAAATAAAGTGGAATTCTCCTGAAGTCTTTTTCAGAGCCAGGCCTCACCTCACATGTTTGAGACACATGAAAAGGTAGCTGATTTGAACTTTCTAACTTGGATGCTTTTTCAGAAAGCAAAATGCAGATAGTCTGCCTGTGCAGCTGCAGATCAGGTCTCTGGGCAGAAGCGGCAACACTGAGTGCACCTCCTGCTTCCAAAACCCCTCTCTCAGAACGATGCTGACTTCAGAAACCTCCTGGACCCGGGTGTTTGCTCCCAGGCCACGGCTCACTGCCATCTCTCATCCAGACTGGCCCTGCAGGGCTCTCTCCCGCAACACCTTCTGGGAACAACTGGCCACCCGGTTGCTCCTGGTCACAACTGCTCTGGATTTTAATCTAACTTTGAGGACTCTGCCTGGGAACTCAAATGTCACCCCAAGCCTGGTTTCCCTAGAGAGAGACCATCAGGGGGTAGGAACTGATTGTGGCTAAGAATCCCTGCACTGTCGTAGGTGCTGCGACAGGCCCGTCCAGGGCTCTGCTAGAGGATAAGACACTGGCTCTGCACCAGGTGGTGGTGGCGAACGCCTTTAATCCCAGCACTCGGGAGGCAGAGGCAGGCAGATCTCTGTGAGTTCGAGGTCAGCCTGGTCTAGAAGAGCTAGTTCCAGGACAGGAACCAAAAGCTGTGAAGAAACCCTGTCTCGAAAATTAAAAAAAAAAAAAAAAAAGACACTGGCTCTGTGCCCAGCCCGGCCTTTGTCTATAGGGCAGGGCAACAAAACACCATAAATAACAAACAATCCAAAAACCAAAATGCGTTAGTTTTTGGTGGGAAAAACCTATTCTCAGATCTGAAGAACAAACACTGGGAAGAATAAATCCTTTTAAATCAAACTTAAAGTACAAAAGAAAACTAACTTTTGCTTTTATTCCCACCTAATATTTTACCTGATAAATTCATAACCGTTTTGCAGATGTCACCATGCAGCCAGGAATTTTCCTCCTGCCCATAACATTTGGCTGAATCAAGGAATGACCTCCATCCAGCTCCGGAGGCCAACCAGCAGAAGATCTTTTGTCCCCTTGTCCATGGAAGGCCACCCCTCAGGGGACACCGCTCTGTCCTTAATTTGCCCTTGTCACCACGGTTCTGATTCCTCTTATCCCCAATTTCCAGCACACAGGAAAGGAACTAGACACAAGAACTCACGGCCAAAGTCATCTGCTGGCTATGAAAGCCACTTTTGTCTACTCCAAAAGCGCTCAGACTACCAGGAGGAAATGTCAGGATCAGTGCAAAGCCCAGTGAACTCAAGGACACTGTGTTTGTGTGTGCGTGCGTGTGTGTCTGTGTCTCTGTGTGTGCATGCATATGTTGTATGTGTGTCTGTATGCATGCACATGTGTGTGTCTGCGTGTGTCTGTGTGTGCATGCATGTGTGTGTGTGTGTGTGTGTGTGCATTGTGTGTGTTTCTGTGTGGTTGGGTGGAGAGGAAGAGACTGAGTCTCAGGGAGTTTAGAGCCAGTACTTGGCAGTGAGAAAAGGAAGCCTAATGATCTGCTCCTTTGTGAGAATCTGCACAAATAACATTGAAGCATCACTTTCTATGAACTTAGAGCCCTAACAAGAGTAAATCCAAGAATCCAACACTAAGAACCCTGAATGGTCACAGTCATATCCTCTGGCATTCTGATTTCCTCTGTGCAGACCTTCAATTCCCCATTCCATGGTTCCCAATTTTCATGTCTCTTTCAAAGAGATTAATGCTCCTCACCAGTCCTTGGCTGTCTCCCCTCTGAGCCAAGGCCATAATCATAACCCCAGTTCCTATGTTCCATATTCCAGGAACTCCACCAGGAGCCCACCATTAAGCCCTTCGCATGAAGGAACACACACCCTCTCAACTAAAGGCAAAGCTCGCACAGCCTTATTTAAATATATGAAATGCTGGTTCTTAAAAAGCAACACCAGGTGTGACTCCATGAACCTGTAATCCCGACACTCCAGGGACTCCGACAAGAGGATCACAAATTCAAGGCCAGCCTAGGTTATACAGTGAGATCTGGGCCAGCCTGGGCTACACAGTGAGACCCTGTCTCAAAACAAAACGTGACAACAGCTAACTGACAACAGAGTACCTCCTGGGAGGACGCTCAGCGAGACTGCGGAGAGTGAGGCCCGTGGCTCCGGAGGGATGCTTCTCATTCGGGAGCACTGGACGTGCGGCCTCTGAGCTCTACACCCACCCTTCAGGGTTCTGTGCTCTGTGCCCTCTGCCGTCTTGCTCACTGCGTCCCTGGGCCAGTTCTCCGGGGAACAGTGCCTCGCTCCCTCCAGGTAACCTTCTCTTCAAGAGACCCCGCGAGTCTTTTGTGGAAGGGCTTTCATCTCCGCAACCCGGCAGTTCTTAGAGGGACTAGACGGAGCCAGGAAGAGGGTCCCTAAGTTATCAAACCCCTTTTAAGTGCCAAGAGTTCACTGTGGAAGCAGACACAGCTTTGAAGACGAGCCACTTCGAGTCTGAAGATCCTACTTTCCAAAAAGAGAGGAAGAGAGCAGACAGAGGGGCGAGGAGAGTGAGGAAGGGCATCAGCTTTGTGCCGTGCGCCCCACATGCCTCTCCAGTCATGGTAAAGGGCATGAAAACCAAACGGCAAGACCTGCTGGGAACCCAAGAGCGGGCTCTCGGGCCAGAGGGCGCCTGCCATCAAGTTTATTAAAGAAAGCTACAATGGGATTCTGAAAACTGACCAAACCGGGTGGAGGGGGGACCTCAACTGAGAAGGGAGTTAAAAGCTCACCTCATCCTCCTACTAGTACAACGTTGGAACCTCTCCCGGGACAGCCCGTGCCCTCGGTCGTGTGTGGTTTCCACTTATTTTCACACACTTCCAAGTCAGGGGGCATCCGGGTGCTAATACAGTTCTAGGAAGCACTTGCTGGGAGCATGAATGCAAAACATGCTGTCACCTGGGGGAGGACCAGGCCTCAGGCCTCTGTTGGGGACTACAGCTGGCCCCACAGCTGGCCGTGAGCCTGGCCAGCTCTTCACTGTGCTCTCCGATGGGGCGGTCTTTCAGTCCCTGGGGGAAATGTTCATAAGGACGTCCTCATGCTGTGTGCCAGAGCTGAAACTGTTTCCCATGTCACTCCTGGAAGTGACAATGACCAGCCACGATGCTAGAGGAGATTCTTTTGGGGACAAGATCAATGACCAAGGAAGCTACTAAGTCCACAAAACAGTAGCTATGCTCTGCCTGAGCCTCACACTCAGGCGTCCATCCGCGTCCAGGTCTTCTGTCATTGCTGGCTTGCAGATAAGGTTTCACACGGCCCAGGCTGGCTCCCAACTCCCTGTGTCACCAAGGATGACCTTGAACTCCTGCTCCTCCTGTCTAAACACCCTCCAAGTCCCGGAGTCAGAGGCACGAGCCACCAGGCCTGGAATGCGGTGTCAGGGATCAAGCCCACGGCTGCTTCACGCTAGGGACGCCCTCTACCCACTGGGCCAAATGCCCAGCCCACGTATGTGGCAGGTAGCATTTAGATCGTCTTGTGACCGGAAACAATGACTCCTGGCCGACAGCAAGGAACACTGGAATGTTCCACACACGTAGGTTGGTGCAGGGCTGTGCTTGGACACAGAACGCAAGAGCTGCATGCACCAGCCTGGAAGCCATCCAGACCACAAAGGCCTTTGGGAAGCCGGGGAGATGTGTGCTGTCACCGCATGAGACTGTGGCGGTTACTCGTAAGATTGGAAAACACAAGAAGAAAATTCGGGCCAATCTGGAAATCATTTGTTCGGTTTACTTTCCCACTGAAAGCTCCCTTTGTAAAATGTAAAAATGGCGTCCCGTAGGATTTGAGAGCAGGGCTGGCGTTCTGTTTTTAGAATCGCTGGGCTCCTCTCTGTTTTGGTTAGAGGTACATTCCTCTAACTGCAGCATGTAAAACCGTGGGTCCTATTTTGGAAACATACAATTTCATGGAAGTATACTCCACCCTGTCAGCACTGTGGGTCGAAGGGAAGAATCCAGCCAGCCAATCCTCATGCCAGGAAACAGAGCACAGCCAAGTTTCCAAAGAGGTTCTCTTCGGATCTAAGCTCGCAAGGAAATGTTAAAACATCCCTCATATTCAAAGCCCCTGAAACGCCCCATCTGGCTGCAGAGGCCCAGAGGCTGGTTTTAGGTTACAAGTCGTCAGTGCTCCTGTAAGAATCGGGATATAATCCTGCATGTGGAATAAAGGCACATTTTCTCTTTTCATTTCTTTTGTTTGTTTTGATTTTAATCTAAAGCAACAATCCATTTCTTGAGTAAATACTAGTCTCTTCGCGTGAATGCAGACAAGGGTCCCAGCGAGCCTTGCTGCTAAACCTAATGACTGGGAGCTGAAAGATGCTACGAGCTTGGCTCTGGAGGGTCATCCATCCTGAACGTCCCGTTCCATGGCACGAACGACGGTTCCAACTTCCTTCCTCCTCTAAGTCTCTCAACTGCAAGTCTGTGTTTATTTTTAAATGCTAAACTTAGCCAAGTCAACGGAGCGCTGAGTATTCTGAAAGAGGTATTGAGAACTCCCTAAAA